CCCCCCCCATCTATCCATCTCCCTGCTCAGACCCCACCCCCTAGCCAACTGGTTCCTCCCGCCCTCCTCCCCCCTCCCTCCCTTTAACCAGTTTCCCATTCTGCCTCTTCCCACCACCCCATGCTTGCTTCCCAGCTGCTGACCATCCCACCTCTGTCCATCGGCTCTTCCAGGCCGTTCCATGCTTTTATTGGTCTCATCCCCCCTGCCCCCACCTAAACCCTTCCTTAGACTCATCTCCCCCCCACACCACCATTTGGTCATGGCTCCACCTCATCTGTGTCCTCTCTGCCCTCACCCGAAGCTTCTTTTTGTATCTACGGGCAACCGTTGTGGGAGTGGGCGTGGGGGGGCAGGGAGGAGCCTCAGAAGGCCTCTGCCTCTTCTGGTGCGCTGCTGTCCCTCGGGGCCTGCTGCTCAAGCTCTGCAAGGAGAGCCTTTTTTCCTCCCTCTCGTCTTCCTCCTCTCCCTGCTGGCTTCTCTCAACTTAACTTCTCTGCGTTAACAATTTGTTCCCTTTCACACAGTCCCCAACTCCTCCTCTGAAGCTTCACCGCCTCACGGGTCTGTTGTTGGGCCTGAGGGAAAGGACCAGGGGCTGGGGCCTAAGGGCTTGGCCTTGGCCCATCACGTGCGCTGGGTTTCAGCCTGACTCTTTGAGGGTCATGGGTAAGCCCCCTTGGGCCCCAGCCCCCCCCCCGCAACTGCACAACAAGACATTTGGACTAGGTTTCCCCAAAGCCCTGAACCCTAATCAAGGATCCCAGGGTTCCACTGCTCCCTCTCGCCCCCGGGGACACCACGTGCGCACAGGGGCAGCGTGGCAGGATCAGCTAGAAGGTTACAAGCCACATCTTGGGTCCACTGCAGCTCGTGCCCACCCCCTTGTGCAAACTCTGTCAGTTTGACTTCCCAGACGTTGTTCTAAGGCCGTCCAGCTCAGGAGGGGATATAGGAAGGACAAACAGATGTCTGGAGGGAAAGCAGAAGCTTCAGTGGCATCAGTCTCCTCCGCCAGGTAATGCACACGTTAGTCATGGTGGATCCTTGGGTGCCAGAGGTTAGCCGAGGGGAAGATCTCAGCCTTGTCCAAGAGCAAGCTTGCCTTCCAGGTAGATCTTCCAGAATCTGCCGATTTGACTTTATAATAAGCGGAGATGGTCCACTTCTTGTCCTGAATTGAGTTGACAAGAATCCTCAAACAGCCTTGCAGTTAAAGGTGCTTGAACTAACAGCCCACCCGCCCTACCCTACCCGTAAGACCTAGAGGCAGATTACTCTCTCATGCTGCACTGGCTCAAGCTCAGACTTGGCGGTTTAATGGCGGACACACCCCTGACTCCAGCTCTCTCCAGCCCAGGTCTTGTGCCCAGCCCTGGGACTTAGCTGTCTTCTTCCCAGTCTCCGTTTCTCCTGCCCTCCTGAATGCCCTGCAGCACCATCTTTTCTCTATCTGGCCATATCTCACTCTGTTTGTTCTTGAGGAGTTGGTATCTGCAAGGTACCTGACCCTGGGTGATTAGGAAAGGTAGTGGCTCACAGTAGAGGATGCTGAACACTGTCTTTTCCTGGCTCCTGTGTGGGAGCAGGGCTCATTTTTCTGGGTGTCCCTGGCTTTAGTATCTGAGCAGCTCACCTGTCCCACTGAGAGGGGTCTAGGCTGGGGATCCTGCTAAGCACAGCGGTCCAAGTCTTGGCCAGAGGAAGGGGCCAGGGAGTAGACCAGAGCAGCCCAGCGAACAGGGTTGGCCAGTACTCACTGTGCCTTGGTTGTAACCAGAAGGAAGTCACCTCCATGCCCAGTTGACACTGGGCGCACAGCACCAGTGGGAACTCACCTAGTCTTCGGGGATTCAGGTTGCCTTGGGTGTTCTGAGGCCAGAAGCCAGGCAGGGGGAAAGAAAAGGTGGTGCTTGACCAGAAGCCTCCTCTTCTTAATCTTAAGTGCTTTTTGCTCCTCTGTTTAATCTTAAGTGCTTCGTGTACCTGTTGGGGCTAATCATCTCTGCGCCCTTGGCTCATGGGGTGCCATGAGGGTGAGATGGAGTCATGGATGGGAATCACCTTGCTGCTGTAGTGCAGCAATGGCCACGGTTACCATCCCCTGCTCAGAGCTCTTCCTCTAACACCCGCTGCCCTCTCCATCCACCCCTAGTTCTTAGACAAGCCAGAGGATGTCTTGCTCAAGCACCAGGCCAGCATCAACGAACTCAAGAGGACCCTGAAGGAACCCAACAGCAAACTGATCCACCGGGACCGAGACTGGGAGCGGGAGCGCAGGCTGCCCTCCTCGCCCGCCTCCCCCTCCCCCAAGGGCACCCCTGAGAAAGTCAACGAGGTAGGTCTCACCCTGAACCCCTCAACAGGGGCTTTGGGTTAAAGAGGGTCGGGAAAGTTGCTCTGCACCAACTTACACTCATCTTCCACACCTGTATGCCTCCCCCAGTTGCTGCATGAGGTGATGATGGGGATGGGGTGGGGGGCAGTGGTGCGTTAGGCTGGGAAAGACAAATTCACTACATCTTGGAATCCTTCCGGCCCCAGGGACCACCTTGAAAAACTCAAAAGACTGGCCGTGGCTTGGTGTATTCCCCGAAGTATAATTGGAAAGGGGTGTTTATTAGATAAGCCCCATGTCAGACCAACAGAATCAGAATATTTGGAGCTAGAGCCCTGGAATAACAAGTGCCCTGGGGATTCTCATGCCCGCTAAACGTTGAGAATCCCAGCAGTTGTATCCAGTAGCCAGATCCTTTAGTGCCTATTGTGAAAACAGATGGGTGGTGTGTGTGTGTGGGGGGGGAGGTGTTCCCTCCCGGAAGGATCCTCGGAGCCCACTAGAGGGGAACAGATCCTCCAAGAAAATTAGACCCGAGCCTCTTGCTTCAGAAAAGGATCCCACACCCACATGCCTTTCGGAGTGGAAAGCATGGGTTATTTTCTCAAATGAAAAAGAGATAAAGATAGGATCTTGAGAATTCCTGTACTTCTAATCCCAAGCTATTATTTTTAGCACTGCTAAATCTTGGCAGTATTTACCCCCATTTAGACTTAGGTGTTTTCTCTCTAGCACTGCTGCTTACTTGTCTCAAACCCAACTGATCCAGACTGACACCACCTGGGTTTGAATTCTGGCTCTGATTCCTGCTAGCTGAATGACTCTGGGCTTATTACTTAATCTCTCTGAGCTTCCATTAGGCAGAGATAATAAAAGTACCTACCTCATAAGAAAGTTGTCAGGATCCAGGGAGATCAAGCATCGAGGGGCTGGTAGAGTACCTAGATGCTCAATAGGAGTTAATTATTGTTTCATTTTGAGAGTCCTGGGATTCATACAGAAGGTTATTTTCAAATTAGAACCCCTTTTTTCTTTTTTAAAGATTTTATTTATTTGAGAGAGGAGGAGAGAGAGAGCATGAGCGAGGGGAGGAGCAAAGGGAGAGGGAGAGGGAGAAGGAGACTCGACGCTGAGCAGGGAGCTTGACATGGGACTCGATCCCACAATCCTGAGATCATGACCTGAGCCAAAATCATGAGTCAGATGCTCAGCTGACTGAGTCACCCAGGTGCCCCCCCCGAACCCCTTTTAAAGTTGGAAGGACCCTCAGAACCTACTTGACTTAAGCTCATCACTTTACAGATGGGGCACTGAGGCCCCGAATGGGAACATACTTGTTCAGTGTCACAGCTGATAGAAGAGGGGCCAGAACCTGCTTTTCTTGTGTCCTGGCCATTGTATTTGCTGTTAAATCACAGCTGCCGGGAGCAAGACCAAATCATGGGAAAACCAGCATAGAGTCAACTGTGTATGTACTGCCCTCCAGTGCTTTGAAATTTGGTGATGCAGTCGTGACCTACAAAGTGAACATTTGATTGAATCAGTTCTCCCCATGGCCTCGACATGCCGGATAACAGGGCCTCGTCCAGTGAGGATGCTGTGGTAGTTTCCTGGCTGGTGATTCATGAAATATGGGATGCTTTGAGGGCCTTTAAGTCCAGTGCTATGGAAGGAGGGCAGATCTGCAGCTACTGAGAGCCCCTGTGGTCACCCCTGGCACCCTGGGCTGGGCCATGGGGGCTGGTCTAGTGATCCAGGTACAGGCCCACTTCTCCGGCCCTGAGAGTCTTGACCACAGTGGCCTGGCAGTGGCTGAGGAGGAATGCAGAGGCTTTTGGAAGGGTGGGACTCTAGCAGAGCAGGGCAGGATGAACCCTGGGGAGCGGGCTGCAGAGCTTCCTGGTGCCTCAGAGCAGCGTGGCTTGGGAGTGTGCCCCACCTGCTGGTCATAGCTGGAACTGCTAGAAGAAGGGTCTTATTCAGAGGTGGGTCTGTTCCAACCCTTGCCCCTCACTGATGCCCCAAGAAGTGTAGTCCACTGCTGGAAAGAATTCTGGTCCAGGAGCTCACCTTGGAGCTATGGACCATTTAACTGGCTTCCAGGCCCCACTGGCATTAAGAGACCCTTGAAGATTTGGAAGATGGGGAGAAGCTGTAGACAAGGACTGGACTGGGTTCTTGGGTGAGTGATATCACCTCTCTGAACCTTGCTGCCTAGTCAGCCCATCTAAAGGGGGACCAGAATCGCCATTCCATAGCGTTGCTGGGAAGGCTGAGTGAAATAATGGGTATAACAGCACTTTATATAAACTAGAAAGTGCTGTACAGTCATGGGGCCGTTGCTTATGGTGACTGGAATCCCTGATTGGACTTTATGGAGGCTCTCCTGCAGGGCTGTGTCATCAGATGTCCTAGTGGCTTCCTCATATATTGTTGGACCTCATCTGGGCCAAGGGGAAAACAGTGGGAACTTAAAATAGGGACTCCAAACTTTATTTTTTTTAATATTTTATTTATTTATTTGAAGAGAGAGCATGAGCAAGGGGAGAGGCAGAGGGAGAGGGAGAAGCGGGCTCCCTGCTGAGCCAGGAGCCCGATGTGGGGCTCGATCTCAGGACCCTGGGATCAGGACCTGAGCCGAAGGCAGACACCTAACCGACTGATCTACCCAGGCGCCCGGGACTCCAAACTTTAAAGAAAAGTTCCCATTTGCCAAACCCAGATTTTCATTTCAAAGAGGACTTTTTGAAGGGCTAAGAGCCAAACGGCAGGACTGAACCATTGCCTAAACCAAAGACACCCAGGGCAGACTTGTAATCGGAGTCTGGATGGTATAGCTCCTCGGCCTCTTGATTGGGAGCCTCTTGATTGGGAGCCTCTTGAAGGAGAGTGGTATGTTTCCGCATCCCTCTTGAGTGAGGGCAGGGAGCAAAGGGTCCGAAGGCACAGTGCTGGCTGGCAGCTGACCGTGGGCCTCCCTTCCTTAAAGGGCCACAAGGGGCAGCTCTTCTCTCTCTTGCCCCACTGGCCTGACCTAAGCCACAAACTCTTAAGGGTGTGGGACTTACAAAGCTGGGCTATTTACGGGCTCTGTGTGTGTGTCTCTCCTGCTTCCTCTCTCTTCCTTTCCTCCTGTCTCTGTCTCTCCTTCCCTTCCTCCCTCTTCCCTTTCCTCTGGCCCTGGGCCTCCCCTGCAGTCCCGGAGGACCCAGGACACCTCTCCACAGGACTTGGCACCTGAGCCTGGGACGGCCACAGGCTGGGAAGTGTTCACTCAGAAAAGCCTCGCAGCGTCTCCTGAGGTTACTGTCGGCACTTCCCCGCCCACACACAGCCACCCTAATGGTTTCAAGAAACCCCTTTCTCTGGGTTGAGGGGGGTGGACCAGGCTCTGCCATGCAGGTGGGAGCAGTGGGTAGCCCTTGTGTCCCCATGCTGTGACAAATGATTGTCCCCATTCCAGGGATCCATAAAGGGCCGGCCCCTCCCTCATCCATTGTTTCTCAGGAATCAGGACTGAGATCATATTCTGGAAAGACAGGACAGTTTGACTGGCTCTGGCTTCAAAGGGGAAGCTGAAACGATCTCCTTCTCTTGGGCCCTGACTTTAGAGGCAGGTTCTGACATCTAAACTTGAGATCAGGGGTCATGGCACCTAAATGCATTCTGCCCTGGGTCTTTTTGCCGTTCAGAAGCCTGAGTGAGGTCTAACAGTGGCTCTGTAGGGGAGGGCCCCGCATTCATCCTCCATCTTCATCTTCTCTAAGCTCCTCTTGACAGGCAGGTGAAAGTGGGCATCTTGCTCTAAGGAGCTTCCTTGGGGTTAAAGAGATGTTGGCCAGGCAAGTGTTCTAATGAGGAAGGCATTACTTCTGCACCCAGGACTGCAGCTGGCGGAGGGCTCTTGGGACTTACTGTGTCCTGCTAGACATAGAATCCAGGCCCAGGGATGGAGGGCTGCATCTCCCTCTGTGCCAACAGCTCAGAGGCTGTCAGGATTAGAAGGTACTGGCCTACCGTCTGGGTGGAAGGTCCTTCTCCCTGAGATCTGACCCTCCCCTTTATGCGTAGTATGTATGAGGGCATCTCCCTTTTTCAGTTCCCATGGAAAAATTTTCTAGCTGCTGAAAATGTGCTGAAACTGTAAAAGACATGAGTCAGCTACATAAGCGGTAAAACAGAAGTCACAGTTCTACTCTGAATTTTTCTTCAGTGTAAAACTAAAAACAACTACCAGCACAGGAGTCAACAGCATCCCAAGGTTAGGGAAATAGTGATGCCCTGGAGCACAGAGATGCTCCTAGAGCAAAGGACAGGTGCCCATACTCCCGGGGGGGGGGCATGGGGTGGAGGGCCACAGGCGCTCTTCATCGGCATCCCTGCAAATTGTCCATCCAGCCCCTTCCACAGAGGGCGCTCTTGCCATTCTTCACAGCAGACCATTTTGGCTTCGGTCGCTTGTTGGGAAGGTTTCATACTGAATTAAAATCTGCCCTTCTGGATTACCTGTCTGTGGGCCTCACTGTACCCGCTGTTCTGCTGGGCATCCTCCTCCAGAGTTCAGCACCTCCCCTCCCCCTGAACGCTCCTCCTTTCCTCAGAGGTTTCTCCCAGGGTGTGGTTTCTGGAGGGCTCCTTGTCCTGCAGGGCCCAAAGTGTGACCCAGAGCCCCAGGTGGGGACTGAACAGCCCAGAGTCAGCAGAACCGCCTGGCTGGAGAGTTTCTCCTTTTGGTGGGTTGCGTGGGAACAGAGCTGGTGGGCGCCCTCCTCCAGCTTCTGCTCCTTGCTGCAGTACCTCCAGCTGGTAGCAGGGGGCGCTCTGAGCAGGCACTGACGGTCTCTCATACTGTAATCGGGTCAGGACGACTTTCAGACCAGCCCCCAGGGCTAGGTGCAGCGCCCCCAGTTCCTTGGTGCTAATGAAGTTTTCTCTCTTTTGTTCAGTCTTTTTTTCTCATCAGGGTGTTCACTGGTTAAAAGCAGAGCCTCCTCTTCCCT